AGCAGAGAGTTACCATTAATGGAGTGAAATCTGAATGGGGATTAGTCACTAGTGGCGTTCCACAAGGATCAGTTTTAGGCCCTCTCTTGTTCATAATTTACATTAATGACCTTGATGAAGGGATTACTAGTGACATGAGTAAGTTTGCTGATGATACAAAGATAGGCCGTATAATTCACTCTGAGGAGGATATCAATGAACTCCAGGACGATTTGAACAAATTAATGTCTTGGTCTGAGAAATGGCAGATGAAGTTTAATGTGGATAAGTGTAAGGTACTTGCCCTTGGTAATGAAAATAACCCTCGAAGCTATAATCTAGGTGAAGTAGAGCTTGGTCATACAGAATGTGAAAAAGACTTGGGAGTCATGGTAAGCAGAAATCTAAAGCCAAGACAGCAGTGCCTCAGTGTGCGCAACAAGGCCAACAGATTACTTGGATTAATCTCAAGAAGTGTAAGTAACAGAAGTCCAAAAGTTATTTTACAGCTCTATACATCACTAGTGAGGCCTCATTTAGATTATGCTGCTCAGTTTTGGTCCCCTTACTACAGGATGGACATAGACTCATTAGAGAACATACAGAGAAGAATGACTAAAATGATTTACTGTGTAAGGAACCTCCCGTATGAAGATAGACTTAAAGCCTTAAATCTCCACTCTCTGGAGAGGCGTAGAATGAGGGGAGATATCATTGAAGTGTATAAGTGGATGACGGGCATAAACAAGGGAGACATTAATAAAGTACTGAGGGTGTCGAACCAGGTAAGAACCAGGAATAATGGATTTAAGTTGGATAAATTTAGATTTAGAAAGGACATAGGTAAGTACTGGTTTTCTAACAGAGTTGTAGATGCGTGGAACAGTCTTCCCAGTGGGGTGATAGAGGCTAGGACCTTGGGTAGCTTTAAGAAGAGACTGGACAAATATATGAGTGGGAGGGGCTGGGTTTGATTGGTGTTGGGGGGTGCGGGAGTTGTTTCTTGAGTAGCTTTAGGTAGAGATCGTTTTGATAAGGACCTGCCTCGTATGGGCCAGTAGGCCTTCTGCAGTGTTCCTACATTCTTATGTTCTTATGTTCTTAGTGGGATGAATTGTAAAGGACCTGCCGAGCATGGGCCAACAGGCATGCTGCAGTGATCCTCCTTTCTTATGTTCTTATGTTCTTATTTGTGTGCAGTTCGCTGCATTTCACAGCAGCCCGTATCCACTTGCATAGGTGGTATACACTCTGTTCTTTGTATCTCTCTCCTTCTCGGGCATTATCTATCCCAGATATTGCCTTTCTTGTTTCGTCATTACCGCCACCACTTCTGTTACTTGGCGATTTTAATGCCCATAATTTCCTCTGGGGGGACTCTCACTGTGATTCCCGTGGCATTCAGTTACAGGCTTTTCTTGCTACCCACCCCCTCCATGTTTTAAATACAGGTACTCACACCCATTTTGATCCTCGGACTCATACTCTCTCTTGCATGGATCTCTCAGTCTGCTCTTCCTCCGCCGCATTAGACTTCACCTGGTCTGTTCTCCCGGATTTACATGACAGCGATCATTTCCCAATCATTCTTACATCCCCTTCATATCAGGCAAATTGGAACCTTTACTCACAACTAACTGTTTTTAGTGAGGTTCCTTCTTCATCCTCCATTGATGAGCTTTAACACCTCTTCTCGTCCTCAGTTTTTAACCACAGCTCCCCATTCTATACCCCAAACTTTGGGCAGGCATTCTCAGAAATGCATGCCTTGGTGGTCTCCTGCTTGTGCTCGTGCAGTACGTTTGAAACGCGCTGCATGGGGCAGGTACCGGTACAATAGAACCATGGAGAGACTTCTTGATTTTAAGCAGAAGCGTGCGATCGCTCGCCGTGTCATCCGTGACGCTAAATGCACTTGCTGGCGAGATTATGTCTCCACCATCACCTCTGCTTCCTCTATGAGTGCAGTCTGGAAAAAAGTACGAAAACTGAGTGGTAAATATTCTCCTGACCCGGCTCCTGCTTTGCGGGTTGCCGGTGTTGTTATAGCAAACCCACTAGATGTTGCCAATGAAATTGGCAATCATCTGGTCCGTATTTCTCAAAAGCTCCATCTATGCCCCTCGTTTCTTTCCTCAAAGTCTTTTCTTCTCTCAGAGAAGAACAGTATAATGTGCCTTTTACACTTCAAGAACTGGAGGCAACACTCTCAGGTTGCCGATCATCGGCAGCTGGGCCCGACGACATTCATATTCGTATGCTACAACATTTACATCAGTCAGCCCTTGCAGTCCTATTACGCCTTTTCAATCTTATTTGGTCACAGGGAGTTCTTCCACAGCCGTGGAAATCTGCCATTGTTCTCCCTTTCCGCAAACCGGGCACTACGGGACATGAAGCCTCCCACTATCGTCCCATTGCTCTTACCAGTGCAGTTTGCAAAGTGATGGAACGCCTGGTAAATAGACGTTTAGTGTGGTATTTAGAGGCACACAACAGTCTCTCCACTTGTCAATATGGCTTTCGTAAGGGACGTTCTACCATAGGCCCCTTACTACGCTTGGATACGTATGTTTGTAATACCTTTGCGAATAACCACTCAGTTATTGCCATATTTTTTGACCTTGAGAAGGCATATGACGCAACTTGGAGGTATAATATTTTGGCCCAAGCCCACTCCTTAGGCCTTCGAGGCAATCTACCATCCGTCCTTAAGAACTTTTTAACTGACAGACATTTCCATGTTCGGGTTAATAATGTGCTCTCCCCGGACTTTATCCAAGCTGAAGGTGTCCCCCAGGGATGTGTTCTGAGCACAACACTTTTTCTCTTTGCTATAAATGATTTGGCCTCTAGTCTTCCATCAAATATTTGGTCATCACTCTATGTTGATGACTTCGCTATTGCCTGTGCAGGCGCTGACTGTCACCTCATTACAGTTTATCTCCAGCATGCGGTCGACCGTGTTTCCAATTGGGCCACCACACATGGGTTTAAATTTTCCAGTACCAAAACTCACCAAATTACTTTCACTAGACGCTCTGTCATCTCCGATCATCCTTTGTACCTCTATGGCTCCCGTATCCCTGAATGTGATACAGTCAGGTTTCTGGGCCTCCTCTTTGACCGTAGGTTATCCTGGAAACCTCACATTAACTCTCTGAAGGCAACTTGTCACAGCCGGCTGAACCTTCTTAAAACCCTTGCTCATCTTTCATGGGGAGCTGATCGTCGAACTCTCCTTCGCCTACATTCCACCCTCATTTTATCGAAACTTGTTTATGATGACCAGGTCTATTCAGCGGCCTCTCCTGCTCTCTCTAGCCTTAACCCCATTCATCACCAAGGATTACGTTCATGCATTGGTGCTTTTCGCTCTTTCCCCGTTGAGAGCCTCTATGCAGAAGCGAACGTTCCATCCTTATCCGATCGCCATGATGCCCATTGCCTTCGCTACTATGTATGCTCTCATGATCTCCGCAATCCTTCCATTTATAGAATGGTCACTGATATTAATAGACATTCTTTATTTGTTCGCCACCCCTGTTTACTCCGTCCCTTCTCTCTTCGCCTACATTCACTCTTGTCTTCTCTTCATTTACCACCTTTCTATGTTCATGTAGCATCTCACTTTTCCCTACCCCCCTGGGAAGTTCCAGCTGTTCGAGTCTGTTCTTTCTCTCTCCCTTACTCGAAACCCCAACTGTCTACGGTCGCTTCCCGCTCTGTTTTTCTTTACCACTTCCACTCTTTCTCATGCCATTGCAGTGTACACAGATGGCTCTAAGTCTTCTGATGGCGTAGGATTCGCAGCAGTGTTTCCGGACAGCGTCGTACAAGGGCATTTACTATCTTCGGCTTGTATTTTTACTGCTGAATTGTATGCCATTCTTGGAGGACTTATCCATATTGCATCTATGCCTGTGTCATCATTTGTGGTTGTCTCAGACTCCCTTAGTGCTATACAGAAATTTGATACACCTCACCCCTTAGTCCTTCGTATCCAACTTTGGCTACGCCACATCTTTACCAAGCATAAAGATATTGTTTTTTGTTGGGTCCCTGGTCATGTTGACGTACAGGGCAATGAACAGGCAGACACTGCTGCGCGGTCAGCAGTACATGACCTACCAGTTTCATATAGAGGTATTCCATTTATGGACTATTTTGCTGCAATAGTTACCCACCTTCACCCCCGTTGGCAACAACGTTGGTCTACTCTGCACAGTAATAAACTTCAGTCTATTAAACCGAGAATTGGTTACTGGCCGTCTTCTTGTCACCAGTGTCGAGGTTGGAAGACTACTCTCTCCCATCTTCGCATGGCAGTATGTCTTACTCATGGATATCTCATGGAAAGGCGCCCTGCTCTTCTCTGTGAGAATTGTAAGGTTCCATTATCAGTCAGTCACATTCTATTAGACTGCCCACTTTATTAACGAGCACGCAGAATTTACCTCCGTCGTCGTCTTCGCTCCGCTGCTCTCCCTTTACCTTCCCTTCTCGCTGATGGACCCACCTTTCATCCGGACTCTCTCATTGACTTTCTGACAACTGACTTCCCAAACTCTGATACCTTCAGCCCTTTCTACCTCAATCTCTTGCTACCCTCTACCCCCGTACTATCCCCTGCCCCGCTGTTTTCTGTAACCTACTGTCATCCATCCCCCCTCCTGCCGCCCAATACCCTCGCTTCCTTCCCTACCCTGCAGTGCTGTATAGCCCTTGTGGCTTAGCGCTTCTTTTTGATTACAATAATAATAATTTAAACGTGTTATCTGATTAAGCGTTTTATGAGTTTTTGAACGTGCCAGCTGAGTTTTTAAACGTGTTGCCTGAGGTCTTAAACATGTAACCTGAGATCTTAAACGTGGGACCTGAGGTTTTATATGGGAGATTTGTTATATTAAACGTGTGACCTTCGTTCTTAAACATTGGATCAGAAATCTTCAGCAATAACACGAGGTCAATTTCAGGTCTTAGACCTGAAATTGACTTGTCCCGATGGATTTTAAACTTACAGGTTAGACTTGAGGTTGATAGTCTGATCGGTGACCCACTTCCACTGACCGTTGATCTTGTGACCTCCAACCCAAAACGAGTACGAAGACTCTGAAATGTATCCAAATACAACGAAATGCTAGAAAATAACAATTAATATCAATATATATATATATATATATATATATATATATATATATATATATATATATATATATATATATATATATATATATATATATATATATATGCAAAACAACCACTCTGGAAGTATAGAGAAATTCCAATCGCTTTCGTGACTACTCACATTATCAAGGAACTAAGAAAGTAAAGCATCCAAGGAAGGTATATAAGGGGTCTGTTTACTGTGATCTTATTGCATATATATATATATATATATATATATATATATATATATATATATATATATATATATATATATATATATATATATATATATATATATATTTCGTTGTTTGTTTATTATTAAATTACTGTAAACTTATGTAAAATAAATTAAGTTGGTAGAATGATAGCTCTTGGTCTTTCGTGTTGCAATCAACACATCAAGAGCTTGCAAAATTGCAGAAAAGAGGAGAATGTCCAAGCAAGTACGTTCTTAAAGGACCGTCTTCGCTGTAAATTGGCGGGAAGTAAGAGTCATCTTCTCTTGGTTCTGGCTTGAATAGAATATTGTACAATCGGCAATTATTAAACATGATAAGTCATTATACAATATCAATTACGCGCTGTTCATATTAGATGCGTTTTTAGTTGAGGCAATAATGCACAGTCTAAAACTAGGCTCTTATGTGAATGCATTAAACTGTCTTAAATGCAGTGCCACACCGAGGAATTAGGGTCTATTTTTTCGTGTAGTATCTGAAGGTTGAACCAGAGTTTTCCTCAGAATTGTGTGTGTTGAATATCTGTGGCCGTCTTTCTTGTTAATGCAGATCCCTCCCCCTTTTAATGAGTTTATTTTAATGATCCCAGTTTCCTTTACATAGCTTTTAAAAGCCTCCCCTTTAAATGTTACCATTTTCTTGTCACTTTAAATTAACACGTTGTCACGTAGGAGGGTACCCTACTTCTATATCATTGACAATATATTTATGTATGTAAAGTTATTGATGTCATAGAGGAATATGACCAAATTTTTATTATTGCCACATTAATTTCGTTTAGGCTATTGCAATATCAATGCTTGTGGAATTTTTCTAATGTTATGATATTCATTCTCATGTCTGTGGGTAGTGTTGTGCCTGGGGGCACTTCCTGTACCCTCCTCTCTCTCTCTCTCTCTCTCTCTCTCTCTCTCTCTCTCTCTCTCTCTCTCTCTCTCTCTTTTTTTTTTTTTTTTTTTTTTTTTTTTTTTTTTTTTTTTTTTTTTTTTTTACACAGGGTTTGACAAGGTTAAGGATCCCTAGCTTTATTGACAGCTATTTACAGGTTAAGGATTCCTAACTTTATTGGCAAGCTGAGAGCTGTTACCTACATCAGCTCATTTGAAAGCATTTTTATTGTTATGAGACATACAAGTAGGGAACAGGATGAAGTTGGAGCCATCTGTGGGCCAGCATTTTCATTTGATCAACTGACGTTATCTCGTTGACATCATTATGCTGTACGAATGTGTTCCATACTCGAGTCATCCTGGGTATGTATGATCTCAGATGGAGTGATGTTCTGGAGAAGGGTACAGCCAGAGTGAAGTTGCTGCTTTCTGCCCGTCTTTTGGCATAAAAGCTTGTTTCACGCTGTCCTCGAAGTGGATCCAAGTGTGGTATTTTGACAATATTGGCCTTGTACATAACAGTAAGGCCACCCACATCCCTCCTATGTTGAAGGCTCTGCTGAAATGACAGATCTATCCAGGATGGGTCCAGGCGAGAGATGAGACGTCTTGCTCTGTTCTCTACTCTGTCAAGCAGTCGCAGATGAGAGGGGGGGCAGGCAAACCAAGAAAGTGGAGCATACTCAAGGTGTGAGCGTACTTGTGCCTCGTACAGGATCTCTCTCTCTCTCTTTTTACACAGGGTTTGACAGGTTAAGGATCCCTAGCTTTATTGACAGCTATTTACAGGTTAAGGATTCCTAACTTTATTGGCAAGCTAAGAGCTGTTACCTACATCAGCTCATTTGAAAGCATTTTTATTGTTATGAGACATACAAGTAGGGAACAGGATGAAGTTGGAGCCAGCATTTTCATTTGATCAACTGACTTTATCTCGATGACATCAGTATCTCTCTCTCTCTCTCTCTCTCTCTCTCTCTCTCTCTCTCTCTCTCTCTCTCTCTCTCTCTCTCCAGTGAAGACGGTCCTTTGGGAACATATTTGCTTGGAATTCCTCCTCTTTTCTGCAATTTTGCAAGCTCCTGATGTGTTGATTGCAACAAGAAAGGATTAGAGCTATCATTCTATTACCCCAGTGGTTGTTCTGCATCCTGTATCGCTTGGTTTGTGACATTTGCATAAAAATTAGTTGGATTAGGCTAAATTAAACTGCAATTTTGTTTGTTTATATATATATATATATATATATATATATATATATATATATATATATATATAATATATATATATATATATATATATATATATATATATATATATATATATATATATATATATATATGTCGTGCCGAATAGGCAGAACTTGCCATCTTGGCTTAAATAGCAACGCTCATCTTGCCATATAGGACAAGTGAAAATTTGTGTATGCAATAATTTCGCCAAAATCATTCAGAACCTAACGAAAAATATATATTTCACTGTGTTTGTTTAGTATTAAATTATTGTAAACAAATCTAAAACATATTTAGTTGGGTTAGACTAAAATAAATTGTTCTTGTTATAATAAGGTTAGGTAAGTTTTCTAAGGTTCTTTTGGAGAAAAATTAAATTTTTTTACATTAACATTAATGAAAAAAATATATCTTTAAACGTATAAGAGAAAATTTTAGAAAGGACTTAATTTTAAATGAGTTCATGCTAATTGACCAGTTTTACATATTCGGCACGACATATACAGTATATATATATATATATATATATATATATATATATATATATATATATATATATATATATATATATATATATATATATATATATATTTTTAATAAAATATAGGGAAGTACCACCTCTATAGCTGGAATGGGGACCCTCATCCTCAGAGAAGACAATAAACGTACCTCAGGGAAAACTCAAGGAGAAGGGGTTACTAGCCCATCGCTCCCGGCATTTTAGTCGCCTCATACGACACGCATGGCTTACGGAGGAAAGATTCCACTTCCCCATGGACAATAGAAGAAAATAAAGAAGAACAAGAGCTATTTAGAAAAAGGAAGCCCTTGTGGCTTAGCGCTTCTTTTTGATTATAATAATAATAATAATAATAATTAGAAAAAGGAGAAAAACCTAGATGTATGTATATATATATGCATGTGCGTGTCTGTGAAGTGTGACCAAAGTGTAAGTAGGAGTAGCAAGATATCCCTGTTATCTAGCACGTTTATGAGACAGAAAAAGAAACCAGCAATCCTACCATCATGCAAAAAAGTTACAGGTTTTTGTTTCACAGTCATCTGGCAGGACGGTAGTACTTCCCTGTGTGGTTGCTGGGTGTTAATGTTGCAGTTTAAAAACTGTAGTGTAAAGCACCTTTCTGGCAAGACAGTGATGGAGTGAATGATGGTGAAAGTTTTTCTTTTTCGGGCCACCCTGCCTTGGTGGGAATCGGCCAGTGTGATAATAAAAAAATATATATATATATATCTCCATGGGGAAGTGGAACAGAATTCTTCCTCCGTAAGCCATGCGTGTCGTAAGAGGCGACTAAAATGCCGGGAGCAAGGGGCTAGTAACCCCTTCTCCTCTATATATTACTAAATTTCAAAGGAGAAACTTTCGTTTTTCCTTTTGGGCCACCCTGCCTCGGTGGGATACAGCCGGTTTGTTGAAAAAAAAAGTATATATATATATATATATATATATATATATTAGTATATAATATATATATATATTATAATATAATATAAAATTATTATATATATATATATTAGTACGTATGTGATAAATCTGTAGGAAGTTATACCACATCTGGGAAATGGGAAGTAATGAGCTTAGAGCAGAGGAAGGGCTCAATATTTCTGATATGGAGCCCTTCACTGGGTAGTTTTGATCTTGATGTACCAGAATAAACCCATGTGGCTCTTCTCCACTCAAAATTTTATTCATCTTAAGTTATTTAAACAAAAAAGTGCCATAGTGCTCGGAAAAGGCTTTTGATCCAAGAAACTTCAACTGCCCTTCCCTTCCTGTTTACATCCCAATCCCCAGGTACTTTAAAACTCCCGGTTTAACTCTTACGTAAAAATTAATAATGATAATAATAATACTTGGCACACTACTCACTAGGAAACACCTCGTCAATGTGTGCAGAGAGATGTTCAACCTTGCTGGATACGTTCATGACTGCCAGGTCTGTCCCGAGTGTCTTGCATCCCTCCCTGGCCACCTTCCATGACACTGGTCTCTCACCAATACCGGCAGCGATCACCACCTTCACACACGAACTGCTAATCCCCAGGAAGTCGCTAGGGCAGCCTGAGACGCGTAAAAGATATTACAGTTTAATCACTTAGGGCGCTCGTGTCTACATTGTCGTCAAATTGTATTTAAACGCGTTCGTGTCCCAATGTCATTTCAACATATCGCTACAAACTGGCATAGTGCCAGATAAGTGGAAAATGGCAAATGTGATACCTATTTTCAAAGCAGGTAACAGGTCCTTAGCTTCGAACTATAGACCAATAAGCAAAACCTCCATAGTGGGAAAATTTATGGAATCAGTAATTGCCAAAACAATTCGTAGCCATCTTGAAAAGCATAAATTGATCATTGAATCTCAGCACGGTTTAAAGCCCTTGTGGTTTAGCGCTTCTTTTTGATGATAATAATCAGCGCGGTTGAACAAATGAGCATTCCTGCCTTACGAATTTATTTAACTTTTTTCACTAAGGTATTGGGGGAGGTGGATTATGGTAATGATCTACCTCCTAGTTTTCTGAAGGCCCTAGCTAGAGGGTCTTAAAGACCCTCTAGCTATTTTTAAGACCCTTAGGTTTTTAAAGACCCCTAGCTGACTTGGAAAGGGAACCTGATAAGTTTCCAATGATAGTTCCTGATCAGCCATGCTGTGGTGCCTACGTTAGGCTGCCTGCTACTGGCACCAAGAACCTGATTGATGAGGCTGTTAGCTGTCTTGGCCTGGAACCGGGCCACCGAGGGACTGACTCCTGCTAAGCTACAGGAATTGTTTACAGAAATTGCCTAGATGATTTTACTCCTGTAAACCATTAGGACCTCTGGTTTGTTTATGAATACTCTTTGATTTTTTGTGTGATGAGATTAACCAGTGTGAGCAATTACGCATTTTGAGTGGAGGACGCTCGATCCTCCGTCTGCTGATGGCAGCCTGGTCTGTGACCAGTGAGGCTGTTGGTGCTGGAGTATTGCAGGATGAACTCACCAAGGGCACCAGTCATCACTGCCACTATCACCAGCAGGGACACACACAGCAGGTTCATCTTGAGCTCCACCACTGCCACACACCAACTCTACCAGTTCTAAGCCACGCCCGCAGAATGCAGCTCAACCCAATCCAAACACACGTCCACAGAAGGTGGCTGTAACCACACCCACAACAGGTAGACGTTGTAGAACCGCCCACGGGATATACAGACACAGACGAAGTCTTAACACGGATGTGAGGCACAGGACCCCCATCACTGACTTTTATACCGCCCTTCTCTCGCCTCATCAAGATGCTCTTTTTTTTCTCTTCTTTTTTTCTTCCTTTGTCTCCGCCCCCAGCCTTGGGTCAGTGAACATTCCAGAGCTTTAACCGTTGCTTTGAACGTCCCGGACTTTCCACAGGTGACAGATGTATTTCAGGGCGTCCAGAGGGTCCTCGTTAATGTTGTTATATTCTTGACAACTGTTATCACATGCGATGACTTGGTATCCCCTCTCAGGCAACGAGAATCACCGTTATCTTCACAAACTCTCATAATTCTCATACATTAGTTAACAAAAACCGGTCTGCACCTCCCCCACCTCCGTACCTCTGAAAGACTCTTGGTGGGGGATATCTAGAAGCTGCTGAAAGGCTTCTGATGTGAGGAACTGGATCTAAATACTCTTGATCTCGAATCAGATCTGATCACCTTCCATTGCCAAGGCGCTGTCATGAGCCGTACGGGTTATTTGAGTTGTTCGACATAAAAATTATAATCTAGCACCCCATGCGACCTTGTGTGAACCGAGTTGGTGTTTGACCTTTTGTGACCTGACTGGCTTCTCTGGCCCTGCATGACCTGACCTAGTGTCTGTGACTTAGTGTAACCTGAGCTAGTGCCTGTGACCTTGTGTGACCTGAGCTGGTGTTTGTGACCTGAGCTAGTGCCTGTCTATCTGATTCGAGCTAGTACATGTGACCTTGTGTGACTTGAGATAGTGCTTATGACCTAGCGTGACTTAAACTGGTGTGCTTGACCTTGTGTGATTTAAGTGCCTGTGCTCTAGTGTGACCTAAGTTGGTGTCTGTAACCTTTTTAGAATTTAGCTGGTTTTTTGACCTTGTGTGATCCGAGCTGGTGTTTGTGACCTTGTGTGAACTGAGCTAGTGCCTGTGACCTAGTGTCACCTGAGCTGCGGTCTTTGAGCTTATGTGGATTCAGCTAGTGCTTGTGACCTTATATGACCTTAGGTGGTGTTTGTGACCTAGGGTGACCTGAGCTAGTACTTGTTACCTTGTGTGACTTTAGACGGTTCCTGTGACCTTGTGTGACTTGGATCCTGTGGCCTCGTATGACTTGAGCTGGTGCTTGTGGCCTAGTGTGATCTGAGCTGCAGTCTTTGAACTTGTGTGACATAAGCTAGGGCTGGTGACCTTTTGTGACCTGAGCTGGTGCCTGTGACCTAGTGTGACCTGAGCTGCAGTCTTTGAACTTGTGGTCTCAGCTAGGGTTTGTGACCTTGTGTGACCTGAGCTGGTGCTTGTGACCTTGTGTGACCTGAGCTGGTGCCTGTGACCTAGTGACTTCAGCTAGCGCTTGTGACCTAGTGTGACCTGAGCTGGCGCCTCTGACCTAGTGTGACCCGAGCTGGTACCTCTGACCTAGTGTGACCTGAGCTGCAGTTTTTGAGCTTATGTGGCATCAGCTAGGGGTTGTGACCTTGCATGACCTAAGCTGGTGCTTGTGACCTGGTGTGACTTGAGGAAGTGCCTGTAATCTAGTGTGACCTGAGCTGCAGTCTTTGAACTTGTGGTCTCAGGGCTTGTGACCTTGTGTGACTTGAGCTGGTGCCTGCGACCTGGTGTGACCTGAGCTAGAGCCTGTGACCAAGTTTGTCATGAGTTGCTGCTTGTGGACTAGTGTAACTTGGACTGGTACTTTAAGCCTTGAGTGACCTAAGCTGATGACTGTAACCTTGTGTGACCTGAGCTGGTGCTTGTGACCTTGTGTGACCTGAGCTAGTGCCTATACCTAGTGTGACCTGAACTGGTGCATGTGACCTTGTGTAACCTGAGCTGATGCTTGTGACCTTGTGTAACCTCATCCATCCTCTCACCTCCTCCATCTCCACTTCTTTTCTATCTCCACTCCTTGATTCTTACGTATTTGATGCAAATAATTTAGATAACCGAGAAGTTGTGCAACATTTGTGTCTCTCCAGGTAGCAGCTTCTTCACTCCAGTATGCTGTATAGCCCTTGTGGCTTAGCGCTTCTTTTTGATTATAATAATAATTCACTCCAGTAGAGAGAAGCAAGGTGGAAGATTACCAAAGGTTGCACAACTGTCTTATTTTTTCTTGCACCTCCATCACCTCACCTCCCAAACTTTCACCTCTGTCCCCTCCCTCCTCTATTCTTACTTTTTGCTCAGTCCCTACCTCCTCCATCTCTACTTCGTATTCATTCCCCGATGTCAGCCAAACCTCTGACAACAACGAGAGTGCTGGACTATATAACTTGTGAGGCGGATCTGGTTCTCCCAAAGAGTTGGTGAGGTGGTGATCTGTCTGCTGCTGTTGCTGCTGCTGCTGCTGCTTGTCTCGATTCTGCTAGTGAAGATGGTGCCGCAGCATTTGCTGCTGCTCTTCGGGGTATTGACATCCCCTGCCTGGGCATCCAACGGTAAGAGGAATTGATTGACTTGTACTACTTCTCTCCTATGCTTGTGCATCTGAGCTCATCCTCTACTTAACTACGTTAACACCACCCCGTCTAGTACCACCTTACATTATCACCACCCCGTCTAGTACCACCTTACATAATCACCACCCTGTCTAATACCACCCTACATTATCACCACCCCGTCTAGTAGCACCTTACATTATCACCACCCCGTCTAGAACCACCCTACATTATCACCACCGTCTAGTACCACCTTACATTATCACCACCCCGTCTAGTACCACCATACATTATCACCACCCCATCTAGCACCACCTTACATTATCACCACCCCGTCTAGTACCCCCTTACATTATCACTACCCCGTCTAGTACCACCTTACATTATCGCCACCCCGTCTAGTACCACCTTACACTATCGCCACCCCGTCTAGTACCACCTTACATTATCACCACCCCGTCTAGTACCACCCTACATTATCACCACCCCGTCTAGTACAAACTTACATTATCACCACCCCGTCTAGTACCACCCTACATTATCACCACCCCGTCTAGTACCACCCTACATTATCACCACCCCGTCTAGTACCACCTTACATTATCGCCACCCCGTCTAGTACCACCTTACATTATCGCCACCCCGTCTAGTACCACCTTACATTATCGCCACCCCGTCTAGTACCACCTTACATTATCACCACCCCGTCTAGTACCACCCTACATTATCACCACCCCGTCTAGTACAAACTTACATTATCACCACCCCGTCTAGTACCACCCTACATTATCATCACCCCGTCTAGTACCACCCTACATTACATTATCACCACCCCGTCTAGTACCACCTTACATTATCACCACCTCGTCTAGTACCACCTTACATTATCACCATCCCGTCTAGTACCACCTTACATTATCACCACCCCGTCTAGTACCACCTTACATTATCACCACCCCGTCTAGTACCACCTTACATTATCACCACCCCGTCTATTACCACCTTAAATTATCACCACCCCGTCTAGTACCACCTTACATTATCACCACCTCGTCTAGTACCGCCTTACATTATCACCACCCCGTCTAGTACCACCCTACATTATCACCACCCCGTCTAGTACCAACTTACATTATCACCACCCCGTCTAGTACCACCCTACATTATCACCACCCCGTATAGTACCACCCTACATTATCACCACCCCGTCTAGTACCCCCCTACATTATCACCACCCCGTCTAGTACCACCCTACATTACATTATCACCAACCCGTCTAGTACCACCTTACATTATCACCACCCCGTCTAGTACCACCTTACATTATCACCACCCCGTCTAGTACCACCTTACATTATCACCACCCCGTCTAGTACCGCCCTACATTATCACCACCCCGTCTAGTACCACCGTACATTATCACCACCCCGTCTAGTACCCCCCCTACATTATCACCACCCGTCTAGTACCACCCTACATTACATTATCACCACCCCGTCTAGTACCACCTTACATTATCACCACCTCGTCTAGTACCACCTTACATTATCACCACCCCGTCTAGTACCACCTTACATTATCACCACCCCGTCTAGTACCACCTTACATTATCACCACCCCGTCTAGTACCACCTTACATTATCACCACCCCGTCTAGTACCACCTTACATTATCACCACCCCGTCTAGTACCACCCTACATTATCACCACCCCGTCTAGTACCACCTTGCACTATCACCACCCCGTCTAGTACCACCATACATTATCACCACCCTGTCTAGTACCACCTTACATTATCACCACCCTGTCTAGTACCACCTTACATTATCACCACCCTGTCTAGTACCGACCTACATTATCACCACCCCGTCTTGTACCACCCTACATAGTCAACACCCCGTCTAGTACCACCCTACATTATCACCACCCTGTCTAGTATCACCCTACATTATCACCACCCCGTCTAGTACCACCCTACATTATCACCGCCCCGTCTAGTACCACGTTACATTATCACCACCCCGTCTAGTACCACCTTACATTATCACCACCCCGTCTAGTACCACCCTTCATTATCTCCACTCCGTCTTGTACCACCTCACGTTATCACCACCCCGTCTAATACCACCTCATATTATCACCACCCCGTCTAATACCACCTCATATTATCACCACCCCGTCTAATACCACCTCATATTATCACCACCCGGTCTAGTACCACCCTACATCACCACCACCCCGTCTAGTACCATCTTACATTATCACCACCCCGTCTAGTACCACCTTACATTATCACCACCCCGTCTAAAACCACATCTAATACCACATATTATCACCACCCCGTCTAATACCACCTCATATTATCACCACCTCGTCTAGTACCACCCTACATCACCACCACCTCGTCTAGTACCATCTTACATTATCACCACTCCGTCTTGTACCACCTCACATTATCACCACCCCGTCTAATACCACCTCATATTATCACCACCCCGTCTAGTACCACCCTACATCACCACCACCCCGTCAAGTACCACCCTACATTATCACCACCCCGTCTAGTACCCCCCTACATTATCACCACCCCGTCTAGTACCACCCTACATTACATTATCACCACCCCGTCTAGTACCACCTTACATTATCACCACCTCGTCTAGTACCACCTTACATTATCACCACCCCGTCTAGTACCACCTTACATTATCACCACCCCGTCTAGTACCACCTTACATTATCACCACCCCGTCTAGTACCACCTTACATTATCACCACCCCGTCTAGTACCACCCTACATTATCACCACCCCGTCTAGTACCACCTTACATTATCACCACCCCGTCTAGTACCACCTTACATTATCACCACCCTGTCTAGTACCACCTTACATTATCACCACCCCGTCTAGTACCACCTTACATTATTACCACCCCGTCTAGTTCCACCATACATTATCACCACCCCGTTAGTACCACCCTACATTATCACCACCCCGTCTAGTACCACCTTGCACTATCACCACCCCGTCTAGTACCACCATACATTATCAACACCCTGTCTAGTACCACCTTACATTATCACCACCCTGTCTAGTACCACCTTACATTATCACCACCCCGTCTAGTACCGCCCTACATTATCACCACCCCGTCTTGTACCACCCTACATTATCACCACCCTGTCTAGTATCACCCTACATTATCACCACCCCGTCTAGTATCACCCTACATTATCACCACCCCGTCTAGTACCACCTTACATTATCACCACCCCGTCTAAAACCACCCTACATTGTCACCACCCCGTCTAGTACCACCCTACATTATCACCACCCCGTCTAGTATCACCCTACATTATCACCACCCCGTCTAAAACCACCCTACATTGTCACCACCCCGTCTAGTACCACCCTACATTATCACCACCCCGTCTAGTACCACCTTACATTATCACCACCCCGTGTAGTACCCCCCTACATTATCACCACCCCGTCTAGTACCACCTTACATTATCACCACCCCGTCTAGTACCACCCTACTTTATCACCACCCCGTCTAGTACCACTTTACATTATCACCACCCCGTCTAGTACCACCCTACTTTATCACCACCCCGTCTAGTACCACTTTACATTATCACCACCCCGTCTAATACCACCTCATATTATCACCACCCCGTCTAGTACCACCCTACATCACCACCACCCAGTCTAGTACCATCTTACATTATCACCACCCCGTCTAGTACCACCTTACATTATCACCACCCCGTCTAAAACCACCCTACATTGTCACCACCCCGTCTAGTACCACCCTACATTATCACCACCCCGTCTAGTATCACCCTACATTATCACCACCCCGTCTAGTACCACCCTACATTATCACCACCCCGTCTAGTACCACCCTACATTATCACCACCCCGTCTAAAACCACCCTACATTGTCACCACCCCGTCTAGTACCACCCTACATTATCAGCACCCCGTCTAGTAACACCTTACGTTATCACCACCCCGTCTAGTACCACCCTACATTGTCACCACCCCGTCTACTACCAACTTACATTATCACCACTCCGTCTAGTACCACCTTACATTATCACCACCCCGTCTAGTACCACCTTACATTATCACCACCCTGTCTAGTACCACCTTACATTATCACCACCCCGTCTAGTACCACCGTACATTATCACCACCCCGTCTAGTACCACCTTACATTATCACCACCCCGTCTAGTACCACCCTACATTATCACCACCCCGTCTAGTACCACCTTACATCATCACCACCCCGTCTAGTACCACCCTACATTGTCACCACCCCGTCTACTACCACCTTACATTATCCCCACCCCGCCTAGTACCACCTTACATTATCACCACACCGTCTAGTACCACCCTACATTATCACCACCCTGTCTAGTACCACGTTACTTTATCACCACCCCGTCTAGTACCACCTTACATTATCACCACCCCGTCTAGTACCACCCTACATTATCACCATCCCGTCTAGTACCACCCTACATCACCACCACCCCGTCTAGTACCATCTACATTATCATCACCCCGTCTAGTATCACCCTACATTACCACCACCCCGTCTAGTACCACCCTACATTATCATCACCCAGTCTAGTACCACCTCACATTATCACCACCCCGTCTAGTACCACCCTACATCATCACCACCCCGTCTAGTACCACCCTACATTATCACCACCCCGTCTGGTACCACCCAACATTTTCACCACCCCGTCTATTACCACCCTACATTATCACCACCCGTCTATTACCACCCTACATTATCACCACCCCGTCTAGTACCACCCTATATTTTCACCACCCCTTTTAGTACCGCCCTACATTATCACCATCCCGTCTGGTACTACCCTACATTCTCAACACCCCGTCTATTACCACCCTACATTCTCACCACCCCCTCTAGTACCACCCTACATTATCACCACCCAGTCTATTACCACCTTACATTATCACCACCCCGTCTGGTGCCAACCTACATTTTCACCACCCCGTCTAGTACCACCCTACATTATCACCATCCCGTCTGGTACCACTCTACATTATCACCACCCCGTCTAGTACCACCTTCGTTATCACCACCCCGTCTAGTACCACCCTATATTATCCCCACCCCGTCTATTACCACTCTAAATTCTCAACACCCCGTCTATTACCATCCTGCATTCTCACCACCCCCTCTAGTACCACCCTACAGTATCACCACCCCGTCTAGTACCCCCCTATATTACCACAACCCCGTCTAGTACCACCCTACAGTATCACCACCCCGTCTAGTACCCCCCTATATTACCACAACCCCGTCTAGTACCACCCTACATTATCACCACCACGCCCTCTACCTTTACTAAGTTCTCTACATCACTCATCACTAGTAGCTTACAACTTCACAAAGTTCACAGTCTAACGATTATAAGTTCCATTCCTTAACAACTTAAAACAAAATGTATGTACCTGCAACGCTGATGTCTGTGTATCCTGTAGGAAATGCAACATGTGAGGTAACTAAAACCAGTCAGTCCTGCTGTGTGTATGCAGGAACCGGACTGAAGGTGACCTCCTCCACACGCTTGTGCTTCCAGAGTTTTTATTCATGAAACTCATCATCGTACATCATTTCCAAGTGATCATTTTTACTTATCTTAATGTTTATTTATATTTAAAACTGTCAGTGCAACAATAAGTGCTGGTCTCAGTAATTGTAGACGGACAAACATTATATTCATTACCCTGGCCAACAATGGTTACAGTTGTCGTTTAAAAGCAAGTGTTTCTAAGTACTTTTGGGACGCTCGACCGACTTCTGAATTTAATGTTGCTCCATATATATAATAAATTTAAATTTTAGTTTTTGTCGTTGCATGAACCATAATATAACATATATATGAATGATGACGTGTGTCATGTGCTTCCTCAACCTTCAGTAACCGAAAAATACTGAATAATAATATTTCAGAATTACGAGCTAGAGACTAAACAAGCTCAGACATGTGACCAGCTCGTCAAAGTTACCTTAAAACAACCAGTTTGGTTTTTGAAATAGATTAAAAGTTGCATTTTGTTGGCTAATAAACTGTCAAAAAAACATTCCGAGACAGGCTGATGAAAAAACGGGGTTGATGGTGAACACGTGCACACAGGGTTGATGGTGAACACGTGCAAACGGAAGTGATGAACACGTGCACACGGAAGTTATGGTGAACACGTGCACATGGGCTGATGGTGAATACGTGCACATGGGGGTGATGAACACGTACACATGGGGTGATAGTGAACACGTGCAAATGAGGGTGATGGTGAACACGTGCATACGGGGTTATGGTGAACACGTGCACACGGGGGTGATGGTGAACACGTGCACATGGGGGTGAACACGTGCACATGGGGTGATAAACACGAGCACATGGGGTGATGGTGAATACGTGCACATGAGGGTGATGAAAACGTGCACATAGGGATGATGGTGAACACGTGCACATAGGGTGAACACGTGCAAATGGAGGTGATGGTGAACACGAGCACATGGGGTAATGGTGAATACATGCACAAGGGGGTGATGGTTAACACGTGCACATGGAGGTGATGAACACGTGCACATGGAGATGGTGAACACGTGCAAATGGGGGTGATGGTGAACACGTGCACACTGGGGTGATGGTGGACATGAGCACATGGGGGTGATGGTGAACACGTGCACATGGGGGTGATGAACACGTGCACATAGGGATGATGGTGAACACGTGCAAATGGGGGTGATGGTGAACACGTGCACACAAAAGTGATGGTGAATACGTGCACACGGGGGTGATGGTGAACACGCGCACACTGGGGTGATGGTGAACACGTGCACACGGGGTTGATAGTGAACACATGCACACGGAGGTGATGGTAAATACGTGCACACGGGGTTGATGGTGAACACGTGCAAACGGAAGTGATGAACACGTGCACACGGAATTTATGGTGAACACGTGCACATGGGATGATGGTGAACACGTGCACATGGGGGTGATGGTGAACACAAGCACATAGGGGTGATGAACACGTGCACATGGGGTGATGGTAAATACGTGCAAATGGGGATGATGAACACGTGCACACGGAGGTCATGAAGACAAGTGCACACAGGTGGAGCCAAAAACAAGCAAACCTTTCTAAGTTTGCTGGTTGTGGGTTACACCTGACTCTCGGTATTATCAAGATGGTAGGAGAGGTAAAACCGTTTTGTCTCGGGGGAAAAAGCTAACGTGGTTGTACCATGTAGTTATAGGTATTCATACCATAGCAACATGTGCATGCAGGTACTGGGCGTCACATACCTTAGGTGGATACCAAGCCATTAGCTATAAACAAAAGTCTGCAATTACTATGGCAGTCTGTGAGTCAGTCAGTGGCTAAGGTCTTCTTGTGCAATACGTGTCTGTTTATGTCACTGTAAATGTTGGTATGTATTTTTGTATATGCCTACATATCTTTCTGTGTCTCTGAACATATATCTGTACTTATCGCTATATCTTTGTATATGCAAGATCACAGTAAACAGGTGATATCACAATATACAGAACAATCACTGTGAAAAAAATAGTGAAATTCCAAGTGTTTTCGTAAATTCTCACATTATCAAGGAACTGATAACGTGAGAAATCACAAAACGCTTAGAATTTCACTATTTTTTCACATTGGTTGTTCTGAATCTTTATATATGTTTGTAACAACGATACAGACAAATTCTATATCATTAATGTTTATTAATAGTTGAAGGGACTACGGACCCTGCAGCTGGGTCAGAGACCAGGTCCTAGCTGGGGTCTGGTCCTAGATCATCCACCTCACCCTTTCTTCATCCTCCAGAATGTCATGCGCCGTTTGAGCTTCTCCTGGACGAGTTTTGTGTACACGTGAAGGTGACTGCCCCGCCTGAGGGAAGTGGGCAGCCTCTGAGGTGGGCGGAGGCGAGGGCGGAGTGCATCAAGCTGGGCGGAGACTTGGCAGTGGTGGGTCGCACTGAGAAGCTTCAAGCCATCTCCCACTATATTGATAAGTCACTGCCTGGTGAGTTCTGGTGAGGTGTAGGTGGTGGTGGAGTGAGGGAGTGGGTGGTGGAGGGACGTTGGTGGTTTTCGGGCATTGCTAGTGGTGGGACGTGAGTGTTGACAATGAGTGGGTATACCTGGAGTATACCTGGAGAGGGTTTCGGGGGTGATAGTAGTTGTAGTGGAGGCAGTGTTAGTAAGGTATAAGGGGTGTGAGTCGGAATGAGATTTGTTGGTCGAGGGAAGGGGTTGTAGGCTGTTACAGAAGGAATGTATACAGTTAGCGAAGGAAGTGTATGCTGTTAGGGAAGGTGGTGTATGCTGTTAGGTAAGGTGGTGTATGCTGTTAGGTAAGGTGGTGTATGCTGTTAGGGAAGGTGGTGTATACTGTTAGAGAAGGGAGTGTATGGTGTTAGGGAAGGGACTATATGCTGTTAGAGAAAGGAGTGTATGCTGTTAGAGAAGGGGATGTTTCCTGCTAGAGAATTTGGTGTATGCTATTAGAGAAGGGAGTGTATGCTGTTAGGGAAGGTGGTGTTTGCTGTTAGATAAGGGAGTGTATGCTTTTATAGGAGGTGTATGCTGTTAAAGAAGGGATTGTATGCTGTTAGGGAAGGTGGTGTTTGCTGTTAGATAAGGGAGTGTATGCTTTTATAGGAGGTGTATGCTGTTAGAGAAGAGAGTGTATGCTGTTAGGGAAGGTGGTGTTTGCTGTTAGATAAGGGAGTGTATGCTTTTATAGGAGGTGTATGCTGTTAAAGAAGGGATTGTATGCTGTTAGGGAAGGTGGTGTTTGCTGTTAGATAAGGGAGTGTATGCTTTTATAGGAGGTGTATGCTGTTAGAGAAGGGAGTGTATGCTGTTAGGGAAGGTGGTGTTTGCTGTTAGATAAGGGAGTGTATGCTTTTATAGGAGGTGTATGCTGTTAAAGAAGGGATTGTATGCTGTTAGGGAAGGTGGTGTATGCTGTTAGAGAAGGGGTGTATGCTGTTGGAGAAGGGATTGTATGCTGTTATAGAGGTGTATGCTTATTTTTTATATTTTATTTAAAAAAACATATACATAATACATAAAAAAACCACAAGCCGACAAATTAACACAGCAAAAGACGGTGGCAGACAATGTCAGTACACACTCACAGAACAAAATACAATTTTACACATTGATATTACAAAATACTTCTGAATAACCACAACCAGTTTATGGAAAGAACATCCTGACTCCCAAACAAACAGGACGAGTCATTATGAAACATGCAGGAGTAAGTCCTATAATCATTATATATATATATATATATATATATATATATATATATATATATATATATATATATATATATATATATATATATATATATATATATATATATATATATATATATATATATAATATATATATATATATATATATATATATATAACATTTATATATACATATATATACATACATATACATACATACATATACACACACATATACACACACATATACACACACGTGTGTGCGTACAAAAAAAAACTGAATTATACAAGAAATAATCCGCAAATTCCCTTGACACCAAATAACATAAAATATATATTACATCCACTAATAGAACTATACCTAAGACATTGGCTCCTACATACACATCTACACAACCAAAAATAAAAAACAGACCCGTACAAGGCCATATCCATGACCACTACTACCTTCCCAACCACTTAACACACAAAGCTGATGTTGACGGTTAACATTCAATATACAGTATGACCTACCATACAGATATAAAGGTATATATAAACCCCATAAATAATTTACATATGCTCGTACAGAGCTCATAATGTACCCCTTTAGTTATACTTTGAAAAACGATAAAATAACGATAAAAGAAAAACAAAAACTCACATACAACTTTTAACACTGTGGGTTTAAAAAAGTCGTAAGGTCTACATACCCCAGAACCTTTATACATTGGTTGACCTTTCTTCCGCAGGTACTACCAAAATATTGCATGTAACACACAGGTATCAAGGGCAACATACTTCCACACAGATTTACATGCATTATAAACAGAGTTTCAAATATGCTAATCATGATACCACATCCTCACGTTTTGTAGGCCTACCGGCCTACAAAATAAACCTAACATAATAGAACCTGCCTACCTTCATAGCCCAGGACTAGTGACACACCATAATCGAAACTGTGACAATTATAGTTTTGCACGCAATGCAATGAACAGCCATAATTCCAGAGCTATTACAAAGTCATGTACATTCATGTCACACCTCCACCAGAACGTTACACTTAATACCCCGGTACCTAGAACAATCCTCTAGAACAAAGAGGAATCTTCCGGCACCAACCAAGGACAGATGCACACCAGAGAAAAGGATTATGCCCTACCATCCCCTGACATTCACCACAATAAACCCATACACTCAATATCTGGCACACAGCCGTCCGACGGCTCCCTACAAAACTATTACCCACATCAACACTATGCAACTCAGTCAACCTACCTCATTCAGGCATCCAATTACTCCAGTAGGACACACCACTGAAGAGACCAACCCCTTGTGGAGTAAACGTGCAACAGTGAGTGCACGATATCCCTCCGGAAAACTAATTACCCACCGTCTCCCATATAATTGTTTGTTCCTACACGCTGTCCTATAAGAACACGCCGCCAACGCTTTTATCCTAATGTTTCCCTCCACCTCCCTCATCCCCCACGAGACATACAAGTAATCAACTATTACGTACCTGATAGTCCTCCCCACCTTGTTGGGCACCCCTCCCATATCTAACATTAAAGGCCCTAAGGGGTGATATCTGACCCCCCCCCCAATAAAAGGAAAACCCTCTTCAACCACAATCTTACCACCTCCAAAGCAGAACAAAAATATGCTACATGGAAAGCAGTTTCAACTTCCCCACAAAAACCGCATGACGCCTCTATCACAAAACCCATTTGTCTCAGCACCTCTTTCGATGCCAAAGTCCCCATATGAAATATATACACTAATTCCCTCACCCTTGCCTGTGTTTTTAGTGTACTAAATTCCACCCATATCACTTGCCAATCATATGTGGGATACATGGCCATCCCCTGCAGTGATATCTGACGACGACCCACACCCACCAACCGTTTTACCTTGAGTTTTTTAACATTGCGTTTTAAGTCCCTGCCACTCCACCATTTGCGGACATCCCCCATCACCTCCCCCACTCGAAGACCCCTTTCCCCCCCTGCCCGATTGTACCTCTGCTTCACATATAGCACCTTCACCCTAGATCCTAATGCCATCAATCTCAATCCTCCCTGTCTTACCGCAGTCATTACCACATCTTTGCCCAACTACGCCCTCCCAAAACCCCACACATACCTTAATACTCTCCTTTGTAATTCCATAATATCCTGATTTCTTAAGGGATAAATTTCCGCCACTCCCCACACTTTACTATAAATCAGTGCATTTACCACCACAACCCTTTGATGCAAGGTTACGTCCCCGGCCCGGAAACTCCTAAGCCTACTCAAAGCTCTGTCCATTACCATTTCTGAATTAACCCTCCTGCTCTCCTGTGCATCTGCCAAACACAAAATCTCACAAATCTTGAGTCTTTCTACAGTTATCCAACCAAACTCCTCCCCCAAGGTCCTGCCTACCCAAGTACCTACCTAGGAACCGTGATTTCTGCTTATTAACCCTCATCCCAGTAGCATTCCCAAAAATCTCAAGTACCCTTCCCACCTTACATAAATCCTCTATCTCATTAAGTAAAACAGTAGTATCATCCACATAACCCACAACATCCCCACAAAAGCCTCCACCCTCCCCCATCCCTCCCATCCCACCATCAACAAGCACATAGAAAGGATTCTGCATACATGCAAAGAGTATTTGGGAGAGCGGACATCCCTGCCTCAAACCCCTCCCAATGCTTACAGGACTACCCAACCTACCATTTACCTGTACTCTCATTAATGCATCAGTGTACAAAATCCTCACCCATTCCACCACCCTCCCTCCAAAACCCATCCTTACCATACTCTCAATCAAAAAATCCCTATCCATGTAATTATAAGTATTCTCCCAATCCAGACCTAGAATACCGCCCCCACTACTACCCTCGAGGAAATCCCTGATACGTCCATGACCTACCCTCAAAAATATTATCTTTAATTCTGTAAGAAAAAATAATTATTTTTTTTTAAATTTCTTGGACTCCTCCCCAGAATTCCAAACTGTTCCCCATGTATCACCGACCCCATGACCTTCTTCAATCTATTGCCTAAGATTTTCGCTAAAAACCTTGTAATCTGCGCACATCAGAGATATTGCTTGATAAACACTCAAAACTCTTCTTCCCCCCCCCTCCTCTGCCTTGGCACCAAAACTGTGACACCCATACTTTGGGATTTGCCCAACTTCCCACTAGTTAACATATGATTCAATACCCCAACAAAGCATTGCCTAATACACCCCCAATGTGCTCTATTAAAATCATTTGGTATACGGTCTATTCCCGGTGTCTTTCAGGTACTCATCCCTAAAACTGCCTCTTCCACCTCAACCTTACTTATACCACCCTCCAACCCCACTCTATCCTGCTCACTTAAAACACTATGGAACCCCCCTCCAAAAATCCCCTCCCAGGAACCCCCCTTCCCTCCTACTCCATTTCTCCCTAAACCAACTATCAGCATAAAGACTCGTACTTACTGTGTTGGATAGGACCCGACCCTATGGGTAACCTCCCACCCCAGGGCTTGTCTCCAATTGTAATATGGTGGTTACTGTCTGACGTTCTCGAAATTTACATAATACAAACCCAGACGGCCTATCACCCCACAATACATCCTCTAACCCTGCCCTAACCCTGATTGCATCAAACCTATCATTGTGTAATTCAGCTATTCTACCCTCAAGACTGTCCATGTCATCTCTCCTACCACCTCCCCCATCATAACAGTCTTGCAACTGTCCCTCCACATAATTTTGCAACCCATAACGCCACCTCGCCTCCTCCCGT